CTCAGTCTAATCTGGATGGTCATACATGGGGCAGGGCAGTATTAAGTAAACTACAGATACATTACAACATAAATGACACCTTTCTGGTTAAAATGAAACATACTAATATGAATAGAACTGGATACAATGACAAACTATTTTATCCCTTTATCTCGGAAATCTAATGTTGAGATATATGCATATACATATTCTTCTGCTGTTATTTCTCTTGGCCAGTGTTATCTAAGATGTATCTACAAAAGACCAGTTACTTCTCAGTAGAACGTAAACCAATGCTAGACCTCATCCAACAGATTAATTCTGATTATCAAATTAAGAGAACAAGATCTTGCCTACGCTGAACACTCACACATGCACTTCTTGACTTGTATCAAAATCTATTCTACTTTGACATTAAAGTATCACTAACCCATATTTGACAGGTCTTAACATGCCTCAAAATTAGAGCTGAATGTGGTTTCTGTGACTTTTGTGAAAAGTGGGTGGAGGGAGAGAAGGACAGTTAAAATATACAGACAAAAAGCACATGCCTGCTGTTTTTGATATGCAGTGTTTGGATTTATCTTCGATTCCAACAACAACGAGCCTGAAAAGATGAGAAAAATTAGTTAGGAATCTAAGCAAAATAAATTCTCTCAATCTCTTTCGTAAAAATCAGGCATGCCCCATGTCTTTTAAAAACAGTATCTGGTTCAAAACCTCATGTTCCATTCAGGAAGTTTCATACAAATAAAACTAAATGCAGTTGAGATTTTAAAAACTACACCTACTTTTATAAGCTAGTTAAGAAGCCTGATGTTTGGAGGACAACTAAAACAAAACAATGGTGTGCCATACAAGCATAAATATCCATAGGAATATAACTGGTCAACTATTTTAAAAAATTGATTGAATTTACCCACCTAAGATTATGTTCCTATCTTCTGGTAGTAGCTAACATACATTTCTTCTGAGCTATATTCAGAACATTAAACTCAATAACCCTAAAACTCTGTACTATGTGTCTAAGCAATCGTGTATCATGGCAACCACTCTTCAGTAATCTTTTCCAGCTCTTGCAAGGTTTATTTAGCACATTAACACCTGTTCATTAGCAACACTGCCAATATATTTTTTTCTGCTATAAGCTGCTTTCCTCATCTTTAAAGAAATAAAAGTTGTTACAGTAAGACTTCAAACCTTCCTTTTAAAAACCTGTATAAAGAACCATGCTGTTGTCTTCTAAAACAAACCCCCAGTCTATCAGACACCTGAGGAGGGACACCTTCGCAATCCTGTAGACAAGGTGAATTGTCAGTGGGTGGCTCTCTGGGAGGAGACTGGTACAGTATGTGCTTTTGCAGGCTAAACAAGGGTTGCATTCTGGAATTAAGAAAGTGTTTAGTTATGTGCAGGGAAACAAAACAATGTGCAGAAATAAACTGGTCATTTGTGGAGGCCAACGAACTGAAAGAAATATGAATCAACTTCGGAATGCCTTTGAACAGGTCATCTCCTTGGGAAGAACTTCGCAGCAAGGCTTTTTGTAAATGCAGGGATCAAAGAGGAATTCTGAAAAGAAATTCATGCCTGGACAGGGTGGAAATGGAAGGACTAACAGTATCTAGTACAAAGAGCTCTGCAGGGGTAAAAATAAAGTATAACATTACGACAGGATTATAAACAGCCGCTGGTATGGTCCTCTATGGTGACTAAGGATCTCCTGCAGGTAACTAAAGTGCAGCCACTTTTGAATAGGTAAGCCTTCTTCTTTTTAATGACTTTAATTCCTTTCCTTTCATGCCAGGCACACTGATCAAGATTCGGATAGCTGGGGTTAGGAATGCCTTTCTTCTAGCTTTTGAAGAAAAATCAAGGCACGCTCTCTCTCTCTCTCTCTACAGGGATCCCTCGTGAGACAAGGCGATTTATACAAGGCAAAAACTGGTCCGAAAGAGCTCATCAACACTGAGCTTTTGGGGACCCTGTGTGTGTGTGTGTGCGTGTGCAGAGGCAGTAGACTCCGTGAGCCTTGCGAGGTGGAAGTGAGATGGGGGGGCGAGGAGGAAGAAAGGAAAAACACCAGTTAACTCTGCCTTGGGCAGGAATAAAAGAGAGGCGAGAAGAGGTGCGCAAAAGCTCCAGCTACCTGGAGAGCCCCCTCCCCCCCCCCCCCTGCTTGGACACCTTTCCCCCCG